TGAAGAGATGATAGTGAAGGAAAAGACTGAGGAACAGTGATTGCTTCGGCTTGGTGTACTGAGACTGATGATGTCGATGGCGGTCCTCTCTCAACCCACTCCCCTTTTGCTTTCTTGGATGCAACCCACGCTTTGTACTTATCAATATTTTTGGGGTTTCTGATACAATCAGCTTCGGTGTGTGTTAAAGATACACATTTCTTGGGAGAACATCTAGTCTGAACAAACCCTTGGCGTCTTCTCATAGGACTAACTGCGTTGGCTTCAATAATTGGTAAGTTTTTGGTGTTAGGATGCAACATTTCTCGATTCGTAATCCGAACATTGAGAGCAGTGACCACTGAATTATATTCGAACGTATCTTTATCCGCAATATCCTCAGCTACTTTGATCCATTCAGAATTCAAGGACATAAGAAGTTGTTGTCCTAACTCTACTTGACCAATGCTTCCACCAGACGTAGTAAAAGCCGTATAGGCTCGATGAAAATTGTCTAGGTGTTTTGATAGAGTAGAAGATCCTTGATTGAGTTGGAATAGAATTCTTCTCATTAACATTTGGTGTGCTGGAGTACGGGGAGCGTGATGGTCTCTGATCTTAATCCATAGTTTGCTAGGGGAAGATTCGAGATCAGGACCAATGCCAGTTTCTACAGTTATAAAAGGTTCAAACCAATTACGATTCGGTTGATCGAGTTTGGATATCATCCACGTAGTGAGGGATTCTCGAACCACATCATTGAAAATCTTGAGATCATCATTGATGCCTGATTCATCCTTATCTGAGAGGAGGAAATTGGTAAAAGATAATGATTTAGTACCATTTCGAACCTCTGATGACCAGTTAGGGTAGTTGGTATCGTTGAGCTTTTCAGTGATACTTATTTTCAATAATGAATTTGACATGTGAGAAGCAATTTGGTAACGTTTGTTACCGAAAAGTGAAGTGACAGTTGCAGTTCCTACATTAGTAGGCGGTAAGGTAGATGATGCCATGTTGGGTATAAGACCTTCTAAGATGGTTTGTTCGCCAACAGAATCGATATCAGATGTTGATTGAAAATCCTCAGCGGATGAAGTTGATGAGTTTAGTGGAGAAGAGGTGTAAAAATCTACTGGAAATGGGAACTCTTCTTCATTCATATGTTATAACGATTGATGCGGTCGAAACTGTCTCTCTCGCTACCATGTAAATGAATGAGAACACCTAATAAACCAGTGCTAAAGGTAAGCACTCTTCTCCAGCTCGAGGTATGCAGACCTCTAAGGAACTAACCTAATAAACCAGTGCTAAAGGTAAGCACTCTTCTCCAGCTCGAGGTATGCAGACCTCTAAGGAACTAACCTAGATAGCAGGAGGAAAATATAAGTGATGAGAAAACTTTTATAAAGAACTCGAAAGCTCGAAGATGATGATCTTAAGGATTTTCTCTTTCCAAAAGATATTATTTATTACTTGTTAACTAACCTAATAAACCAGTGCTAAAGGTAAGCACTCTTCTCCAGCTCGAGGTATGCAGACCTCTAAGGAACTAACCTAAAGACAAGTAGAAAAGAAATAAGAGACATGAGAAGACAGGACATAATAAAAGAGCGTATGAGAGAAATAAAATGTACCTAGATAGCAGGAGGAAAATATAAGTGATGAGAAAACTTTTATAAAGAACTCAAAAGCTCGAAGATGATGATCTTAAGGATTTCTAACACATATAGATATATTAGTAAGATAACGTGTATAGTGAAAAAGGCAAAAAGGTACTCACTCTCTTTCCAAAAGATGAGGAAAGAGAGGGAGATTGAGAACCGAGCCTTGCTATACATAGAAGTGAAAAAGATCAAAATAAAATATTGGGAAAGATGAACAACAACGTTATTGGGAAAGATGTACAAGACACTTTTCTTGACTCGTCTACAAAGATCACAAACACTAAAACATCTCTGATAACAAAAACGAAAGAAAACTAAATCCAACTCCAAAAACCGCTACCATACGTCCGTCATACAACGGTCAGGGTAAGTGTCTTGATTGTATTTCGACAGCTTTGTCTGATTGTACATCACCTGGAATAATTAAGAGCTTCCATTTTCCATCTGCAGGATGAGATCTACACAGGAGAGTTGACACAAACAGGTTTAGTCACACAGGACTTGCATAAACATGAGACTATCTTAGCAAGTGTGTCTCTTACCTCTGGCTGACTACATCACCAGGCACTTGGTTTGGCATCCAGATAGAAGTAAATCTTGTTTCACATTGAGGTGGGCTCTTGATGTAGGGGGCTTGATAGGAGAGGGAAAAAAGGAAACAATCTTTTAAAATAGGAGGAATAGTTTTTTATATATGTCTTATTTTTTATTTCTTCTAATCATATGAATTGAAGAAAATAATCAAAAACAGGAAGAATCAGAAGGGTTATAAGATTTGATGTTGTAAACTAAGTGTTTCTGATAAGAGTAGAAAAAGAGTGTACCTACTTCTACATATTGTTTTAGGTTAACTTGGTGTGTAATTTCAGAATACTTGCACTCAAAAATAAATCAAGATCAAAATTACAGTTGTCTGACAAATTCCATCTGTGCCCTGACCCATACTCCATAAAAATCCATACAATTTTGACCATCTGTACTGCCAACAAAGTTAGCTTGGAAATGAAACCCCAAGGTATCATTGGACCAAATTACCTCAGACACAATGTCTGAGTATTTGATCCAAGGTCTTTTTAAGTGCCAATAAAGTCTTGGAGCATTACCTTGGACTGCGTGTCTGAGGTAATCTAGTCCAATGGTACCTCAGACTCAAAACTTCAAGTAACTTTGTTGGTGGTGCTGCAGAAAAATTGTGGAAAAAGTGGGTACATGACCCATAAATGGTATGCCATAACCCATGAGGTGTTTAAGGGAAATCAGACTCCAGAGCCCATAATCCATAAGTCCGTGTTCATTTGAAAAAGAATCAACTGAGGGAGGCTTGAGAAGCTCTATACAACTAACAAACTGCATTGATAGCCTTATTCAACCTTGTTCAACTTTCACACATCACACATTACAAACTCTGTTATTCTCAAGAGCTTCCCAAAGCTTCAGACATCATGCTATTTCACTTGGGAAGCAAAGATGCAAACTTCAAAGGAAGTGCGGGGGTATGCAAGGGTCCTTTGAGCTTCTCTTAGACACTGCTGATTGCTTGATGTTAAAGCTACAAAGCAGCAGACTCTTGTTACTTTTTTTTCTAGGATTTCCTAAGGAGTCTGCCTTTTTTTAATACAATTGTCTTTTTCATAACCCATATTTTGTCTGCAAATATATATGTATGGTGTTTGAAAGAGATTCAGGTACCAGATACCCTAGCAAAACCCATACTTCTGACTCAAACTTTCTGAATATGGGTTATGTCAGAGATGGCTGTATGCGCTTATGGTTTCTTCTTACCTCACTGTTTTATTATTTTGTTAATGACGTCATGATTTTTAAGTTCTTAAAGGTTACTCATTAATCAACATTGTATCCTTTCTCTCATCGAAACTTACAAATCTTTCTATTGACAATCTTCTTCTTATTTAGATTGTTCCATTTCTCTCGCTCAGTGTGCAGCTTCATTACAAAGCTGACACCTTGAACAATCTCAGATCGTCTCCAGTTCAATTGAGAAAAATCAGCATCGTGGTTGGATGATTGATATAGAGATTGATCAACTAAGACAAATGAGAATGAAGGAGATTCTTCCCGTGAGTGATCGAAACATTGATCAAACTATCAGGTTATTGAGTATCAATCAGTTTTTGCATTGACCTCATAGTTCTATTCCTCAAGATAAGTGTTTGCGCGGTAGCGAAGGCAAGCAGATCACTCGAGACTGATAATAGCCATTTGATGAATTATTTGAAATTGAATTCTATATTAGGTTGGGAATTAACAACAGTACAAAGTCTTTTGCTCTACATGAAGGCATGAAAGGAAACGATATAAACTTTGCCTGATTTCATAAATGATGAAGCCGACATAGAATCAAAATCAAGGTCTGTAACAAAAGAATGTAATGGTGAAATGATTGAGTGATCAAGAAATAGTGAAGGACTGATTGATTTAAAAAAGTGAATGAATATCTTTCTTTGTCATGTTGATCTTTGGCTCATTATAATCGACACTTGTGGATCACCTTGGCTGAGATGATGGCAGTACCCAACAAGACTTGCTAGAGACGGGGATGGTAAGTAGTCAGCTACATTCTAAGCTCACTGGAATTATTATTTTAAGCTTTGGTTCAGAGTCGAGAATCCGTGACTCACGCCTGGGATTTCGTTGTTACTGCGAATGACGGTCACCATGTCCGTCTCGCGTGAGCACGCCGACGTGCTCACACGAAAGACATCTCATGTAAGGTTGTTAGACCCTTCGAAGATGTCTTTCGAAATGTTTAAAGGTCGCCCTTTGTCTAAGTGAGACGTTGATCAGACATAGGCGGTCTGATCGAATCCATTCAACCCTCTTTGTGACAACAGCGGTCCCAAACGCGCACTGCTTGAAACTATCGGTTTTTTTTTGGCTCTTCCGCCGATCTTGAAATAGCCGTTGCATGTTCAATCCAACGAGACCCACCTAATGAGGTTCTCTCGCCATTACTTCGTTATTTGTTACGCGAGTTCCAGTCCGAGCGTGCTCGCCCAAACATTGCAATTTATCAAGTAGGGTGATTTGATATTGCTTGCTTGCAGCTGTCTGCCGACCCATCTGCTCAACCACGAAAAGAGTGTCTCGGATGTAAGCGAGACCTCACAAAGCTATGGGTTGGAAACCCGCCTTCCACAGGTTTTATAACTGATGAGCGTGCTCTTTCAGTCTTTACATCGGCCGCTGGCTTTCCTCGCGCTTCGACCAGAGCCAAATACGTCGACGGAGGCCTATAAAAGCCTGCGCGTTTTCCCTGTTGTCGTCCATGAGCAGAGTTCATTCGTACTCCTGTCCAACTTAAAGAAATAAGCTTTCATTATCTCCCTGTACATCATGTCCAGAATGCTCACTATCCCCAACAAAATATCTCCAATACAATCAAGGGGCGCTAAGATATGGGCTCGTAGTGTTCGTCAAATTGACGCACTTGGCGCTCTGTCGAAAAATGAGATGACTCATGTTCATGTTAGTTACTTTTTCGTTTCAAAGTATACAAGATCTTTGCTTATCATACCTCATCTCTCAGTCGATTGTCCGACGTCACCTTCGAGTGTTGATGTGTCGGGACTCGGAGGCATCACCCATCCCACCAACCCTGTCAGCGCACGAGCAAAAGGATATGCTTGAACGCTTCCCAGAAGGACAACCACTCCCTCACGGGACTTCTATGCCAATGATCGATGTGACCGACTTCGAGAAAACCGGTGTTCACCTGAGCCCACACCGTTTCGAAGACCTTGAATTAGAGCTAAAGCGCTGGGGCCTTCGACGATTCTCATTCAAATGGGAGGCGGATTTAGAAGAACGCGTGAACGTTCTGGCCCAGGGTATCTTCTGGAACTCCTTCTACAATGCGATAAAAAATCGCTATTACAACTTCTCCGTCCACCAAGATATTCTCAGACTCGAGATCATCATGCCAGTCTTCAAGACCCAGTTCAAGCGCTTGTCGTTTATGTATCACGAACAATGCAGCAATAACAAAATCCTTGATGGACATTATAAATTAGCCGAAAAAAAGAAGGTGTGCTTGTTTTTACTTCGTGAATTTTGCCTTTCCAGTCGCTGACCACCTTCTGACGACAGATCTTCAAGGAATATGCGGATTACTTGATCAAATGCGGCGCTGCAAGACCGTTGGCGTCGATCTTCCAACCACGAAATTACCTGATCATGGGTGATATCGCTGAAGTCCAATTAATGTCTAGTGGCTATCCTGCTAGGGAAGTACACTATGTCATACCTCGATGGTGGTCAGAGCAAATGATTGCCTTCATCAAAGCTATCGAGGCGCGCGTTCACTTTGCTGCTCAGTCTCGCAATGCGGATCCTCAAAAACGTCGTTCTGCTTGTAAATTCATCTCGAGCTCTTCGAATGAATACGGGTTCATACCTCGTCATCTGCCTGCCGACATGTACTCTGAGGAACTCAAAAACTCGCTACCTATTGGAGACCTATGGGAGCTCAAAATGAAGCCTTCGGTGTTGCCTGCCGTGGGTGCTATGGACCAGATCTTTCCGGGTGACGCAGGCGAGCTTGTGCAACACTCTTTGGACGGAGTCGACAACGAGCAATACACTAGTGACGACGATATTTCTGATGACGAGATTTACGACATCCACACCGACCAGAACTTCGAAACCTCATATTCCATCATCACTAAACTTGAAGATTTTGAGTCTCGCGTCCAGACTCAGATTTCCACTTTACGAGGAGACTTAGACGATTCTATCAAGAAGTTTTCCAATCTCACCACCGAATTGAACGGCTTGGTCCCCTTGCGCTTGGAAGAATTGAATAAAGCAAAAGATGACATTACAAACCTCTACAATAAGCTCGGGGCTGTGCAAGGAAAGTTAGGAATTGCCGAAGAGGGAAATTTGTCGAATGATGCAGCTGAAGCTGCAGGTCCCGCCGTGCAATCACAAGTCTGAGGTGTGTTGACGATTTGGAAACGGTTTGTGATTCATATTGCTTTTATATTTCGATGCGAACCTGACAATACCTTATTATGATTGATCTTGCTCAGGAAACAATATCCGCGCTTCTTTCTCACAGAATTGTAAAAAATCATCTATCAAACACGTAAGATGTTCCACAATTTCAAAGCACATTTCAAATATCGTCCCAAACTTTTCACTTCTCTCTGATTGTCATACAACATACACGTGCCTATGTCAATTTTGTCCAACTGTGATCTTTTGTAAAGGGTATATAAGACTCCGGGTTGCACCAATATTATCTTATACTCTGTTCTATCACTCTCCTCAAAGGGGCTTCTCCCTTTCAGCCCTAAAATTTAGATTTCAGAGCCCGTGGAGCTACTGGAAGATATGGAGGTCTGAGTTCACTGGTGCCTACGTCCTTGTAACTATGTACTGTTACTATCTGTGCTAAACTTATGTTTGCGTGTGGAATCTTATTATGTTCAACCTGTTTGCTTGTGGCTGCACAAAATGCAGACAGAAATTTGGGTATTGAAAACCTCCACCAAGTACCTGCTCACCGTACATGTTGGTTCAGGTCTAATTGGATCACTTGATACCCTTGCGGATCAAGTAAACCAAAGCGATTGAAGGACAAAATCTTTGTCATCAAAGTTAGTATTGAGGGCGTGTAAGTACAGCTGGAAATATGCAAAAATGACGCTCAGAACTCATATCGGCGGTTGAAGGACATAGTGCTTTGGCTGGCATGGACTCACCAGAGTAAAAAAAGGGAAAGCGCTTGTAAGCACCGCAATATATATCTTATTAGTAATGGTAATTATGAGCTGATTAGGAACCCGTACTGGTACATTGGACATTTTGATGTGATAATATGGCGCGATATTATTGAGAGCGGTATCAATGCCCCCTCATGATCAGTCAGACAACTCAAATTGCAGCAAGACTCAGCTCTCCGAAGTTTTCAATTGTATGCGTGTTGCGAGAGTGTGCTCTTTGTTCTTGTGGTCAAATAGCAAAGTACACATAGGTGTTTCATGGTTCATGTGTGCGTATCTCTAAGAAGGATCGGAAAAGCTCGTGTCTCTCCAATCCTTCTTAGAATTACGTTCAGTTACTCACGCCGAAACTCTTCGGCTATTTTGCTTGACTGAGCTTGAAAAAGTTGTGTTGAAAAGGTCACTCGACACCGGTTATTATACACTAAATCTATGATTTAGTGTTGCATGCACATGCTGATAATTCTGTGAAACAGGAAACTACCCTGATATTATGCGGGTACGTACAAAATTCATTAACCTACGTGTGAGTGGATCAATGAGCAATGAACAAATATGTCAAAAGTTAAGATTAGACTTAGCACGACAGGTGGGTAATTGTAGTATTGAAAAAAAAGGGTAATCGCAGTTGCTCTAGATCGGGGTAATCTCAGACCACCGCTAGGATTACCCAACCGAAATGTGGTAAATGCAGAAGTGTTTTTGGATGCGAAGTGCCCCCCTGGAACGACCCTCTTGCGCAAATGTCTGAAAACTGAGATGGGTGTTGTAGGAAAGTTTAGATGGTCGCCGATTGTGAGCACATACACAGCCGGTGGAATGGCAGAGGCGGGTTTGAGTGGTAGATGTGCAAAGCCTAACATTGAGGGTGCTACACGCAACTCACGCTCAAAGCTGGGAATATACCAGTCACAATCTTCCGAATGAGTGAGCGTGCGCTTGTCTGAATCAAGTGGTATACGGGTAAATGGGATGCGGATGAACGTTTCCGGAAGGTTAATCCATGACAAACTTGACTGTTGAACATGTGATCGGTGGTGGCCTACCGCGTGAGCTCTTAGAATATCTGTGTGAGGGCATGGGCTATGCAGATTGGCTCAGTGACACTACCGGCTCAATTGGTTGGCCGAAGGCATATCGTCGATTTTTTTTGCACGTATGGGTGAGTTTGTGTCTGTAAAAAAAAGGTCGATGGCTGGTCTTGAAAAACCGTTGGAAAAGAACAATCATAGACGTGTTTTGGTATTCGGCGGTTTTTGAAAAATGGTGCTACATATGCGTCGTGGAGGTTAATGTGGCCTTGTTTGGAAGGGCTGGATGGTTTGACGTTGACCATCCTGCCCTTAAAGATTTGGGTCTCATGCTGCACTAGTTAAAATCCGTGCTCGAATAGTAAAGTCAGGTATCTCGATCACGCTGTCTTTACAATTGTTTTCTCTATCAATCTTTCCGGATACTTGTACATACCTTATCTGTGCTTTTTTTGACACCCTCGTTTCCTTTTTTTTTTCAAATTACTCATTGTCTCTTGAACCAATTCGAAGATGAGTCTACCTCCGACAATGACCCAGATGACACCAGGCGTATCATCGGGTGGTGCAAAACGCCAAAGGGTTGAAGAGGATGATTATCAACGTCAAGGTATGTGCTTCCTTCGGCATGATCGTGGGGTCTTGATCACCGATTTCAAGTCCTGGCCTTGTTTGGAATTTTAAAACATAGGGGTCGAGGGGGGATCAGATGATGAAGACGACGAAAGCTCAGGTTAGTGACGTCTGGATACATGGGCATCTAAATGTTAGCGTAGTATTGACAACGATGGACTTGCCTGAGCGTTGAACAGATGGTGGACTTACACACGAAGAGAGCCTAGAGCGGAAGAGGAAACGGACTGCAAAACTTAAAGCCCTGACCCAGATCAGGCACCGCGAAGCTGAAATTGGCAAGGTTGCTGCTCAACATGAGGTTCCAAAAGCTGCCACGCCTCTTGCGAGAGCTATCCACGAGTACACCCGGATGCTGATGGGTATTCCGCGGAAGGCAAGGGGAACATCAATGCTCGAAAGTGTTTCCGAACCGAAATTACCTGATCCACCATCAGAAGAGGAACGCCAAGCTTGGGAGTGTCGCAAACAATTACGTGAGAAATTTATTCGAGATGCTCAAGACAAAGCAATGCAAAAGTATCTTGCAAAAAAACCGACTGGTTTTAAGCCGAATCGAAAACAGAGAAAGACTGTCGAGAAGGATGCAGCTGAGATGGCGGCCATCAAGAAACCTATGCAACCTGTGATATTTACCTCTCGAATCAGCGCTGGTGGTCGCACACGCTATGCTCATCATTTCGGTACACAATGTGAAGCGGCTCTAGCGATGGCCGGGTTTCCACGTTGCACTTTCGACTGGCAGGCATCTTACGACTCCCCTTGGAACGCTGCGACAGCAACAATCATACTTGCTCATTGGGTGAAGACTTATGACGCAAATGGTGCAAGAGCATTTGGAATCATCTCTTCGGATAATACTCCGGCCAACCGTGAAGAAGTGCTTCGAAGATGGTGTGGTAACAAGGCCCCAAAACATCGCGAGCAAACAAGGCATGTTGAGATGTTTAAGACTCCGGCCGGTAAAAAGTTGCTAGAAGATCACTTTGCAATTACTCATAGTATTACGAGCAAAAGGCGTAATAAAGAGAAGGTTAGTCACTTTCATATTCTATGAAAGAAGAATTTCAATGCTCACATTGAAATTAATGTCGATTCAGATTGTTGAAGCGCGGTTACACGAAGCCTTCAAATTCTGGGGCAAAAGTTCTGCCGAATATGCCATGTTATCCCATCCGGAAGTCCATTCGGAAGACGAGCTTCAACCGACAAATGCCTCTGGATCTCGTCAGAGGTTACGGCTGGACTGGCGGAGCGCGGAGTTAGATACATTGATAATGCTCCTAGATCAATCCCATTGGAAGCGTAAAACTATACCAAAGGAACGTAGGGCCGCAAAGCAATTGGTGGAACGAGGGAACTACGCTCCCACTGCGGACCCCGATCGCTTTCCTCCAAAAGGCTTTCAAGCCTCATTGATTTCTCCGGGCTGGTTGGACAATGCAGACGGTTTGATCGTATCGGAATTGGATTTGAATGAAGAGGATGCTGTTGATGTCCAGCAAGCCATCCAGGATGCGATGAGGGTTTTCAAATCCCGTGCCAACCTGGCTGAAGAGGAGGCCAGTGGGTCCACCTTGAGCTGAATCATGATGTTTGAAGCACTAGCCGCAGGTACGTCGTTTTTTATCACCTCAACATATTGATTTAGTCTGAATGGGTGCTCCTTCTTTCCCACTACTATCTAGTGACAACAATCCGAGTCGTCGTCTCAAATGTGTTCTTCAATCCTCCGCTCTCTTGTCATTGGTAACTATTGTGAATTTTGGAGACCAATAATGTAAATAGTTGTAAATAGTTGTTTTCAAAGTATCTATAGATAAACCATTTTCATTCTTTCTTTCTTCTTCTCGTTTAGGTAATTAGAAGAAATGTCCATAGCTTTCATCAGTGTTTCCAGACGTGTACACACAATACTTTTGGCCCTGTATGTATGTGATACATAAGCACAATTTGAAGTGTGAAAGTCTGATACCAACATTACTTTCACTACATTTCATTTTTGCACAGGTTCGAGATTCCTTCTCGAACCTTTCGAAATCACACCTCTTCCCATAATGACCACTTATACGCTCAGCTTTCGAGAAGCACAATCCCGGACTCATGGAACCTGATCATGTGACATACCATGTTCCAATTTGAGAAACGTCCCGACGTAGAATTTTTATTCTTAAGATTCGCTTGCTTTGATATCAGCAGCTATCTACCTTTCCGGCAGTTGATATCTATGATACTACCGATGACGAGTATTATTTGGATCGTCCATGTCAAGCGGGTGCTTTCGACTCCTACTTTCCATATCGGTGAGGGTGCTTTGTGTTTGATTTAATATACACAAACCACTTTCATCCAGGCTGAGCAAAATCTTTCCATCACATCCAACCTAACGAATTTATCATTAACTGTGCTTAAATTAAATTCAGCGAGCCTTCGCTCCCAAAACGCTTTATCCTTGTTTGACCGACCTTCGTACTGTTGAACCGTTCACGTACGTCCAGGGTTTATCGATGGCGAATGGTTGATCTCAACCCTTACTATTCATCACAGTGAGACCTGCGTTTGGTGATGATCAAATCACCACGTTTAGCTTCGCATAAGCCTCCACCCAAGTGTTTCTGTGCAGATACACAAGGATGCCTACACCGGTGTTTCAGATAAATCGTAAGCATCTGGCGAGCCGTCAAACTCCAACCAACATTCGAAATGAACGGATGACCCACAACAAATAGCCAACTCACCGCAGGCTTTCCCACAGTTGATGTCGAAGCATTTATGGCATCATCCAGTGGAAGATTTCGTTCCACTTTGTCTTTCTTATATATAATTTAACCTTCCACTCAAATCATATTCTATTCACTTCAATCTGAATGTCGTATTTTGGACCAGACCACATGTGCTGCACATGTGTAGCCTTGGGATGTTTTCAGCGTCAGTTTGAAAAGGACGGACTTACCCACACAGGACGACTTTTTCATCGCACAAATTATCCGCGCCACTTGGCAGCGTCTAATGCCCAACAATCGCTCCATTCCACGGCAGCTGACCCTTCTAACGCAGCTGTCACAATTCACGCCTTGTCCCATGAGTCTATATCTTTAAGACCAGTGGCATCCAATTCGTCAGGACGAGTCGACAGCGCAGCTATCCCCTCAACTCGCAAACGGAATCGGCCAGCTGAGGCTACACTTGAGCCCTCCTCATCTCACGTGGAAGATTTGGAACCAGCTCGCAAGAATCCACGATTGATGACCCAATCAATTCCTCAACAAGAGGTTGACACCACCCCTTTTTATACTCCTCGTACACTTCTTCAGCACCAATCATGTGTCCAGTCAATGGTCCACGTGTTAAATAATCGCTTATTACGCAATGGATCCGTGCAGGCTTGTCGAACCTCCCTGAAAATGGAGCGCCTGAAAGTCCAGACATCCCTCACGGTGAATGACCCCAATATCCGACCGGTGTGGAATGAAATACCCCTTACCATTCCCAAGCTCTTGAAGACTTTTCACCTACACGCACCGGTTATTCAAACCCTGTCGTGTCCAGTATGCTATTCGCTCCACGGACCACCCGAAAAAAACCCTACCAAGACTAGATGTGATCAGTTACGCTTCACCTCCAAAAGGTCTTCGTCGGATCAAATCCGATGTGATGCCGAATTATACAAACCCTCACGGAAGAAATCCACAGAAATCCGCCCACGACAATTGTTCTATCATCAAAACCTTGTTGAATGGCTTGCTCGGATGTTACAATTCCCATCGTTCGAAACTCATCTTGACAGCCACCTCACTCGCACTCCGCCACCTGAGGGGACCTTACAAGATATATATGATGGGACTATTTGGAAAACATTCAAAAAAAATGGGCAAGTCTTTACACGCAAGTCAGGAAACCTAGTTTTTGGATTCTATTGCGATTGGTTTGACCCCTATAGATCTAAACGAGCGCGTCAACATCACTGTGGAGTGATGCTACTGATATGTTACAATCTACCCCCTGACATCAGATACAGAGCCGATAATATGTTTCTTTACGGAATTACGCCTGGCCGACGAGAACAAAATAGTGATCAAATGAATTCTATACTCAGGCCTTTGATTTCTGAGCTTAAAGATTTGTGGCAAGGCCTCAGGTTCAGCAAAACATCACATCACCCGCACGGACGATTCATAAGTGTTGCTGTGTGGCCGCTTCTTGCAGACGTTCCCGCAATGAAGAAAATATCTGGATTTCCTGGACATAGCGCCACTAGATTTTGCTCAAAATGCTTCATTGTTTTGGACGATATCAATCTTGTTGACCATAAGATTTTTCAACAACGGACAACACTTGTGCACAAACGACAAGCAGAGAGATGGCGAGTGGCCAAATCCCCCGCGATTCGGGAGAAGCTGTTGAAAGAACACGGTGCCCGACATTCGGCATTTTACGAGCTACCGTATTGGCAGCCCCTCGAATTCGCTACTTTAGACATAATGCATTGCCTCATACTTGGCCTTTTAGCAGACCTTTCAAACACTTACCTCCACATTACGGATGCTGGGAAAGCTTTGAGAAAGCAACAGGATTCAAACATCGCCAACGGCCAATATCCCGGACAAACAAATGAATCAGTGCTTGGAAATCTTCGAGAAGATTCAATGAGCTTGAGCCACCAATCCGGTAGTAGTGCTCTAGACTTCAACTTTTCTTCAGATGCTTCATCCAACCGATCCCAATACAAGCGCGCTGCGAAAGATAAGTCGGGAACAGAAAGCAACTTTGAACCAAGTGAAGACGCACCCGAATCCGATGGGCGTTCCGATGACACCGTCCAGATCAATAGCGGCCCATGCCTCACTATCAACGAGCTTGAGGAGGTGCATAAGAGTATTGATAACACTCTTATTCCGTCATGGCTGACCCGTGTTCCAAATAAAATCGGAATGCCTTTTTCTGGAACTCCTAAGGCGGCAGAGTGGCTTATTTTATACACTGTATATATGGTCCTATCCCTAGTCCCCTATCATCACGATTCGGAACCTCAGTCAGATGCTTCCAAAATACACACAGCTATCACGCTTGCGATCCAGATCGTCAATCTGAGCGTCTCGAGGACGCTGACCACTGATGACCTCAAAACACTCCCAAATCTCCTGACGAGATATCGCACACATCTTTTAGAAGTATGGCCTGCAATTAAATCAAAACCAAACCTTCACTATGCGCAACATCTTGTAGCTCAAACACGACTCCTCGGACCACCTTCTTACACTGCATGCTGGTCTGGAGAACGTATAATAGGAACCATGGTAGCAGGTTTAAAAAGCGGAGATAGGGGTTAGTTTATCTGTGCCAATTATTATTGCAATTTCCTAATTTAACCTTTGTATTTGTTTTGTATTAGGTGTAGTTGGGAAGACCATGATCAGCAAACAAACCGAGCGATCCTATTTTCTCAACTTCCTCAAGAATGTCCCATCGGACTACGGAGAACAAATCGGCGCCGATATAATCCTTGGAACTCGCTCATCTCAATGGAAGCCCTTTTCACCATCCTTGGATGTGATCGCATCAACACGACCCATATTACAAGATATGGGGCTGGACACTTCAGTGAAATTCAATATGACAAAGTCTTGGAGGCATGGTGGTAAGAATTTTAGCATACATTCCGAACATGCGGGGAACAGCTACATAGAGTTTGACTACCAGGGGAGCAAAGGCTACGGTGTCATTCAACACATCATGCTCCCTGAGGGTCGCATGACCCCCATATTTGTGCTTCACTATTTTCACAACCTTGACCCCATCGATGAGAATCGAAGCCCTTATCGATTGTTGCCGCATTTGAATGCCACTGTCAAGTATAATTTGGACCTTTCACTTATATCTATTGGATCCCAGCATATTTTTGGTCATTGTGCTGCGCTTCATAACTCAGCTGGAACATATGGTATATCTAAACCAACAGTGTCTGTTGTCAGTCTTCGAAGCATGGTGAGTCTTTTCACCAGTATCTGTGCGCTTATCTTTCTAGAACTAACCACTTTATCTTCTTCAGGGAATTGCAGACATGACAACAACCTAGGAGCAGATGGCTCGATCGAAAAGACATTATTGGGAAACATACGCCGTGGCAAAATTTATTTTTCGATGTTGATTCTGTATACTATATATGATTAAAACATTTCACATTTAACTTTTTGAAGAACATATACACGCAATTTTTTTAACACCTTTTTATACTTGACCTATTGAACACACAAATAAAAAATACTATGAAATTGTAATAAAAACTAGTCATGAGAGTCATATCTATATACACAATACGTTTTGTTTTCCTGATCTGTTTCTCAACTTCATGTAAACACACATGGCTACTACTATACAAATTGAACACGAGCTACACAGCAAAATTTTGTATTTGATTTGGTAGTGTATTTATCCAACTTGAGACAGGCTTGATTCGAAGTGCAGTCTTCTCTTCAGGAGTTAAATATGCGAGGAATGTTGGCTCATAGCAGTTTTCCGGAAGGCCGGGACAAACGGCAGCTTTCGGATCATTGTGAGTAGCAGAGGTTCGACATTGATCAAACCTCTGGGATGCGAGTAATGGGCCTTGAGTCGAAGAACTGTACTTATAACTCAACTTGTCGATTTGATGGAGAACCTTTGTGTATTGTGGACTTCGCCAAATCAAGCCGACTGATGGATAGTGTGTGTTCTCGGGCTCCCATTCCGTTTCGGAACAACAGTCATGATGCGGTAGGATGTCGGAAGCTTGCTGATCAATCTTGGCGGCCAGGAGAAGACGGGATAGTGAATCACACCGATATTTAAACAACTTGAACAATCACAAGACATCAATATATTTTCCATGATCAGTTCATAAGGTGAATATCATAGAGCTTACCACTCTTTTTTTACGGCGGGTTTCCTTCTTGCGATATTTATCGTCAGATTGACGTTCTTGGCGGATTTCCACGGTACGACCTCGTATCCAACGGAGAACTATCCCAATACAGTTAGATTCTGTGTTGTGGGCCGAATCCACTGATTGCTTCAAGGCACCTTGCGACTTGGCATACTGCCAATGCTTGACAACGAATATAGCCATCGTACGGTTCCAGATATCTCTGTCGGCCTTTGCCCAATCGAATGTCAATCGGTTGATACCATGGCGTCTCAAGTCATTCTGGGCGAACATTTTGAATCTATCAAGTGGTGCTTCAGGTACCCCGTTGTCGACAGTCACCGGTTCGGTTAAAAATACTTGCCGGTCAGACATGATTTCGGCTTGAGTTAGAGGTCGTAGATGGCATCGTTCATCTACCGTAGGCCCAGGTGGATAGGCCTTCGTCGACTTGTTGTAACCAACTAAGAACCTAGTGAAGGTTGCCAATGAGTGGCAAATCGCCTCGGTGGGCTTTGGAAGAGTGTCGTACACCGAGGCGTTCAGTGCTTTCAAGGAAGTCGGTGCAGCTCCCTTTTTCCAGTGATGGGATGACCGAGCTGCATTACAGATGGAGGTTTCTCAACCTCAAATGCAAAGCGTGTTTGCGAAGAAAGTGTACTTACGCATGTCTAACCAATTCGAGTTTCAAGGATATTGGATTAGGATTGAAGAGGTAAGCTAGTGATGTGATATTGTTCTACCGATATCGCTCCCTCTATATATATAACATATGATTGTGACTCATGGTGGCTGAAAAGCTTTCGCCATGATTTCTTGTCTCAACGAGACACTGTCCAAGTCTCAAAGGGGAGGCCAAAATGACCCGCCGTTGAAAAAGAAAGGCGCTGCCAAGCCATTCTTTCAACATCCAACAGACAAACGACAAAATCAACCGTTTCAATTGCCTCTTAACAAAGGATTCATCTTTTCTAGAGATGAAACTGAATAAAAAGTTCGACAAATCTATTACACAACTCTCCGTGTGAGCACGCCGACTTGCTCACACGAGACGGACATGGTGTGAAAACATCAGCCACATCACCATCGGAAGCCAGTGTCAAGGTGTTGAGTTTGGCTGACAAATCTTGCAAGAAATGAATTCTACGAGCACCCATGGTGATGGGTTTGGGTGACGTCATTCTTGAAATTGGTAAACAGCTTCTTTTCTACTTTCTAGAATTCTACTTAACGATCAGTTCACTCTGTCCAATCAACCCTCTCTCACTTCACTTCTTCTTCACTCCCAATCATGGATCTGCCAGCATCAAGTAACGCATCCATAGCTGGAGACTTTGATATCCTTGACTTCGGTCAGTCTGTCTCATTCACCTTGCTGTTTTTAGACGCTCATAGACCTTCGTTTGTTTCTATCTAGCCATCGAGTGCTTGAATCACCTTCCGGGTCAATTTGAGGAGACAGTCCAACTACCTTCAGGCGCCTTACTAGAACCAATAGGGACTCCTGCTCGCACCGAGTTTGATAAATTGCATGAGGTGTTGATTCGGGTTTCCTTCAAGCTCGAGTTTGAGAAGCAAGTCAATGCTACCGAGGAAAAGACTGATGGGGTCAAGGATTCCAATTCCAAGGAGAAGAAGATTATCAATTCGAAAGACTTATCATCAGATGGAGAGGATCCATTCTTCAGGGCGTCACTTTATGGCAAGAGCTTCGACGACTTCAAGGATCTGTGTGTAGGCGTTAGCCTGAATATTCTTGAGAGACTGAGACCATTAGACCCGACCGACGAGTTCGAAGACTTGATATGGAAGGGCCGAGTGGGCAAAAAAGAGTTAACCCTTGACTCCTTCTCAGCCTTTGTTGAATTTGTCAATCGTATCTACCGATCAAACTGTAAGACTGGTGATGTGCTCATACGGAGCCCCAATGTAGCAGAAAAGAAAAAACAAGCCAACGCGGTAAGCCTTTTTGGTGTTTCTTTTTCATGTTTACTAATGTTTGAGATTGATGTATCTGATACTTTTACCAAATGGTCAAATGATAGAAAATCGATCAGATGCTTGAATTTGAGAAGACGATGGTGAGTTCTCACCTTTCGATTCGTTTTTTCTTCAAGATAAAACTGAATCTCTGCTCTATATGTCGTCTAGGCCGAGGAATAAATCACCCAAGACTTACAAAGCCGTTTTTGGAAGCTCGTCAGAGGCTTTCCCAAAGCTAACGTATTGACGGCACCATGGGATCCAAATTTTTACTATCAGCTCGCGCTGTTTTCGTCTAACACTTGGGCCATAGCCATTGTCAGTCAAATGCTTCTTGTTTCTCTGCCGAGTCTTGACTAATGTCATCTATTTAGATGAATGGAACTGCTACGCCGGACATGCCACCTGACTCAGTGGAATATCGCGAATATATGGCCGCATGTCGACGGCCTGACAGGTCTATACCTCCAAGTTCTTTACCCTATGAACGACGTTTTAAAAGACCTCGACCTCAAAACTTGGTGACCGAATTTGGAAAAAGAGTCCAAAGATAACTGATCTCCAGAGCCGGCTCAACATCCGGGCAACCTTAGA